CCTAAATGAATCTTAATTTGTCTTAAAGTCCTGTAGGTAAAATGTAACCTGGACCCAGATGGGTCTAAACTCTCCCCAAGCCACTTTCTGGAGAGGGCAAAGGGTAACTGTGGGCATGGGTGGCGAACTTCTCTTGGGTTTAACTTGGAATGGTCCTTCTAAGGGTTTTAGATAAGGAGGACAAGATGGCTCAGAAGTACCGTATTTTTCGGACCATAAGACGCACCAGTTTTTAGAGAAGGGAAATGAAGAAAAAAAGATTCTGAAACAAATAGTGTCCTAAAATATTTTATGTGCATTAAAACCCAACATCACAGTCATAAACACATGTAATCAACCCTGTAAAGTAAACAGCAGCATTTAGAACCATTTTAGAGCCGGGCAAGCACACAGAGACCACACAGGGCCGGGCAAGTAAAAAAACTTTTTTTTTTAAAGTATATGTGTAGGCTATATTTGGACCATAAGACGCAGGGACTTTTCCCCCCCACTTCTGGGGGGAAAAAAGTGCGTCTTATGGTCCTAAAAATATGGTACTCTATAGGCTACTAGCAACTGTCACATACTTAGGCGTTTCTGACTCTCTTGGTAACACCTTGGGGCAATACTTCCTGGAGTGGGGGGTCAATTTTGCATGGATGACACATTTTCTGATTGTCTCTTCAGGAAAATAAGGCCTGAACCTATGGAACTTCAGACCACTTCTCTTCCCTCTTACAGAAAAGATCTAATTGCAAGATGGTATTATAGTTAATACTGCCCCATGATTCTCCATCTGCAAGCTTATATTGAGGCCAAACTTTAGTACAAAAGATCAGCCACTTTTTCTTCAGGGTTTGTGGATCAAATGAGTCTCAGTTCCTTAATACAACCTAGGGGGTTGCTGACCTTGGTGGAAAATGAGGAGTTATCCATCTTAAAAGACAAAAAGAATAAAGAGGTGACCAGCACCATGTTGTTTGGGCCATCACAAGGAGTCTCTTGTGTAGGGAAGATAAGACTGTTTGCTAATGCATGTCCACTAACAGAACTGACCTACAGGACTATATGCAACTAGTGGCCCAGTGCATGAAATCTGTGCACATTAAAAGGGAATTAATTAGAGGAAATATTTTAATATTGCTATTTGCCCTTTCTCTATAATAGAAGTGTCATAGATGAAAGAATATTATTTAAATGTATATGAAAATCTTCCTCTTGTCAGAGCCTGGGGTTCACTGCAGGACCTAGAGTCAAGTCTCTGCCCACCCACCTACACCTCAAAATCATGTGAGACCCAAACCTGGCCAGCACTACCCCAATTGGGTGAGAACTAGACCTGGCTAGACCCACCCCTGTCAAGCCTTGCTGGGTGGGGATGAAATCTCAGGTTCCCTGGCCTGGCACCAGATGGGTGGCACAGTCTCAGGTTCCCTGGCCTGGCACTGGGCGGAGGGTGCACCTCAGATCCTCAGGCACATGCCAGGGTGGGTTGCATGCCTGACATCCTCCATCAAGTACCACTGGGCAAGGGACATGGCCTGAGGTACCCCTTCAAATCCAGCCAGACAGGGAGCATTGTCTGAGGTCCCCTGTCAGGCCCTACTGGGTGGGGGGTGTGGCCTGAGATCCCCCAGCCTGGTGCCAGGGCAGGGGCTACAGCCTCAGGTCCCCCAACCCGGGGTGAAGGGTGCAACCTGAGGTCCTCTGGCCTGGTACCAGAGCGGTGGTTGTGCCTTGAGCTTTGATGTCAAGCCCCACTGGGAGGGGCCATGGCCTGAGGTTAACCATCAAGCCTTTCTGGGTGGGGGCTACAGCCTGAGGTTTCCTAGGCCAGTGCTGGGATAGGGGGCATAGCTTAAGATCCTACAGCCTGGTGCCAAGGCAAAAAGTATGGCCTCAGATCCCCCAAACTGGGGGAAAGGGTGTGGCCTGAGATACCCTGGCCCAGCTTGGCACTACGCAGCCTCAGGTCCTTGCTGATCACTCATATGGGAACCCTGCCTCCACTGTGGGTGTAGCTATTTTGTGTTACAGGAATCCCACCTCTGCTGTGGGCACAGCCATCTTGTGTTATGGAAACTCTGCCTCTGTTTTGGGTGCTGCCATCTTGTGATTGTGTAAGGGTTAATTTGCATATTACCTCTTTATTATATAGGACTGTAGCCCTGGGCACGAATCCATGCATGAGTAGCTTGCTGCCATTTGCCTCAGGGGCCACATGCCCACTGCCACTGGTAGCTCTATGCTGCTCATAGCTCACTGCTATGCCATCCTGTAGTTCTCCACACACTACCCTGCCCTCCTGTAGCTCTCCTATCTCCTAGCTTGCTGCTCTGCCCTTCTGTAGCTCTCCACCACTTGTAGATTGGTCGTGATGTTGCAGCCTAATGGATAATTAGCATATTCCTCTCATTATATAGAATTATCAGTCTGATCTTACTTGATTTAAGTATACATCTGGCTTAAGAAGTATAGAACGGCCACCAGCCAATCTGAAGAGCAGGCTGGGTGGGAGTCTGAGGTGTCAAACTCTCCTGTCCATAGATCCTTATTTTAGTACAGATTAATTCTCAAGGTCCCCTTTTACTTTGTTGTGACCTTCCCAGAAATCATGAGAAGCACCTGGCAACTTTACCTTGCTAAACCTTGAGATTGCTGGCTTCTTTGCTTAGAGAGCAAAATTGCCCTTTTTTCCTTTTATCTTTATCCCTCCCTTTCTGTGTATTCTTTTGTTATGGAGATTTTTTTAACCTATTTGCTCACATGTCCTTGTCTGGGGAAAATAATGGCTTGTTAGATACAAGTAGACTGTAAATTGTCCACATCGTTTTACCTTGTTTTAACTTCCCTGTCTTAGTTTTGTTACAGAAAACTGAAGAAGAACAAAGCAATACTTAGAGAGATGGAGTTATATTTATTACGTGCAAGTCCAGAGGAAAATGACTCAAATTCTGGGCCCCAACACGCAGGAATTTTCCCTATTTATATATTTTTATCTTCTTTGTATCCCAAATATGGAGTGTTTCTGGCCCTTTTTACAAGTTCTTAAAGAGCCCATATATACTGGGGCTTTGAGACCTCAACCAGAGGCTTGGCCTGGTGTCAGCACTGATAACATTGTCTGGGGAAGGTTTAATGGCCTCTCTGTAGTGGGAGTAGTCTTAGCAAGCAAGAATTTACAGAAGCCAAATAGCAGGGTTACAATTTCAAACAGCAGTTTTTATATAAGATGGATGCTTTATTCCCCAGTAGTTTTATGTTACATGTTTCAAATCATTGACTCTTAATCATTGTAGTTATATTTACCCCTGAGGACTATAATCTTAATTTTCTGCCTAATAAAGTTAGTGGGCCTTTTTATAAGATAAGGGCCTAGAATGAGGGCCAAGAGTAATCTCTAGAGTCTGAAGAGTCCTGGACTCTCAATTTTTCCTGGGTTGTCTTAAGCTGAGTTGGGATTCCATTGACCTTGACCACTGTGGAGGTGGTCCTTTCCAGGTAGGAGTCAGTGCTTGAATGGGAAATTCCTTTACCCAAACAGAGTCACCACGGTGGAAGGGATGAACCAGATCAGAAGTTGGTACATACAGAGAGTTTCCTGGGTAGACTGTAAAGCCTGTAAGAACTTGAATAAAGACTGGTTATGGATTTTAGCTTTTCTATCAATAGATTGGGCAGGTCAGGATCTGGAAGAGTCACTAGAATCTTTAGAGGCCCCACTGGTTTTAGGGCAGCCTCCAGGGCAGCTTCATCTGTGGCCCGGTTTCCTCTTGCTTCTGTGGAGAACCCTTACCTTGTTATACTGATGAGTACCTGCTATCAGTATAAATTGTTACTGATATTTCTTTTGTCTACCAGAGAGCCTGAAACTGGGTGACTCAAGTGTTTGACATCAAGTGCTCTAGTGTGCTCTGGAGTAAAACCTTGGAGTCATGTGGGGCAGTTAGGATTAGTTACTGCCTGAGGGTTAACTTATTTGCTTTTTCAATAAGCATAGGTGTGGCTTCTACCGCCCAGAGGCAAGTAAGTCACCCAAATGCAAAGGGGTCAAGTCTATTGGACAAATAGGCTACCAGACTTTTCCAGGGGCTGAGACTTTGGTGAGTACCTCTTTGGCTATGCCCCTTGTCTCACATACATAGAGGTGGAAAGACTTAGTTACATCCTATAGCACTAATTGTCCCACTGTCCTTGTTCTGCTCATGTCGGTATAACTGCCTCAAGGATCCTGGCTCTGGATTCTTTAGGGAAAATGGATGTTGAATTACTTCTGTAGCTGCTTCGTGCTGAGGAGGGATGGAGTTTTCTCTCAGAGCCAAGAGATCCTTGCTGTCTGTCACGGGGATGATGAGGCCTAGGATGATGAGGTGGGCTTTTGACCTGGCAGAGACAAACTGTAGCAATTGGCCCAGTAGAAGGGAAAGAAAACATTTCAGTTTTAATGACCTCTATTAAAATATAATTTTTCTCCTCAAGATTACCTCTATGTTTATCAAAAGAGCCAAATAAAGGCTAATTTATCTATTATATTTAATTTGTCCTGATTGTTTGCATAAACACAACAAGTATGGTAACTGACTACCTTTGCCAGAATTTCATGATTGAATCTTATTGTGCCCTGTAGGGCCAGGAAGCCAAGCCATCCAGCTGCCTTTAGGCCTGCCTGTAGTATCTGCTGAGTTGAGTGAATCCCTCACCTGCACAGCGACTCCACCTGGGCCCACACCCTAGGTTTTAAGGCCCATCACAGAAGCCCTCCTACTTGTCACTGGTACTCGTTTTACCTTGTCACTAGAGTGCATGGGGTTCCTGCAGGGACAGAGAGGTGCCCTTATTACTCCCCTTCTAGTCTGACTAACTGCCACTGATGGCAGGGTATGGGCTTGATACTCCAGCACCAGCCATTTTCAGGGCTACCAAGAAGGATACCAGGCTTTCCCCATGGCACTCTTATTGGCTTCAAGTCTTCAGAGTTCAGAGAGGGCTCTTTAAACATGATACTCTAGTCAAAGTTTCTGGTCAATAAAACCACTATTAGAAACCAGCCTTATTGAATTTATGCAAATAAATGTATTGCCATGATTTATTAAGCATTGCCAAATTTCAGAGGAATTATATAAGGAGAAAAATATACTGACCTGCTTTAAGATCTTCTGATTTTCCTTGTCAGTCATTTCTATGGATTCTTCAGAGTAATATAACTGTGTTCAAATGACAAGGAGGAATCCAAAATGTGCCTATATTCAAGTAGACAATTATAGCTGTCCTTGTAGTAGGGCTCTCCCTATTTGACTTGTCCTTAGAATTTAATATGGTCTCTAAGAGGGGTGACATGCCCTCTGAGAAAGGACTAAGGTAGCTTTATTGCTTTACAGGGTCTCATGTCACAGGACCTCACAGGGTCTGTAATTCCTGTAACAAAGGGCTGGTACTCACGACACTTCCCTCTGTTCCAAACAGGCCTTCCCCAGTTTCCTAATGTTGAGGTTTGTGCCAACCCTGACATGGGCATTTTCACACAGGCCTGCAAGACAGTAACATTGGCATTGTGGCCATCTTAGGTAGCCAAATCTTCTACCATATGTGACACATGGTAGGGCTATACAAATATCTTAGGGAGGTGACTAAAGTCTAATCTTGAACTTCCCACACAAAGCAAAATTGTCCTTGTCTTTCTGGAGTCATGACCATGAAGACACAGGCATTATCTAAATATATCATACAGTTTCCTGAAGGCCGCTGTCAGGGCTGTGCATGGTGGCCAGTTCTTCTTTCTAGCCACAAACACAGCCCGTCTAATTTCCCTGAAATTTATTCTGGCATGGGAAAAAGTTGTTTTGCTGTAAACAGGCAGCTTAACCCCATACAACTGGGCTTGGACATCTGCCTACAAAGCTGTAATTTATAAGTTTAACATGTGGTCTTAGGTCCTTCCAACCCAACAGGGTCTCTGCCATCCCTCAGTCAGACTCCTCCTCTCTTGGATATTCTCAAAATCCTGAAGGCTCCCTGGTCCAGGGAGAGTTCCTTTGCCTTTCCTTTGCTCTTTGACTTTTAAGCTGCCAGTCCAAAACAGCCAGAGTTGCAGTTAGAAACAGCCTTGAATATTACAAAGCGCTTCTGTGGCAGTGGCTTGGATATTAGGCCCCTTGCCTTCCCTCTAGTCCTCTTTGTGGCAGAGCAGCGACTAGGCTTCTCTCAAGGGAGTGCACTGGAAGGGGATCTCAGTCCCTCCTCTTCCAGCAACAATAAGTACTGAACCCTTTCAGTACATTTGCAAACAGGGAGCTTTCACTAGCTCTATCTGCTGCTTTCACAGATCCCAGGCCTGCTGCTCTATCCCTGGGGCTGCAAGGAGACTAGTAGCAGTATCTGGCTTCTGGTTTAACTGCTGGAGCCAGCAAGCCAAAGGCCTAAGTTTTGTATTGCTCACTGGGTAGCAGTGGGGCAGCTCTAGTGTCAGGTTAATGTCTGCTGTCCCCTGCTTTTCTTGCTGCTGAGGCTTCTTCCAGGGCCACTGTAGGCAGCTCAGGCATGTAGCCCCTCTAACCCCCTTCTTTCATCTGGCTCATGGGGGATGAGTCTGCCTAGCAATCAGTTTTCGATCTTAACCCCTACTCCAGCAAAAACGGTCTGCAACCAGTAAAAATAAACAAAAGCCTATCTCTCCCAGCTTCATAATTAACTGCTGACACCTCCCAGTTTTTTGCATTAACCATTTACTCTGTCCTTAGCAGGGGAAATAAGGCAAGTGGTCTGAGATCCTGTATAACCAGGTTTTTACATTTAAGGATACTTTTTTTCTTTTTCTTTCTGTAACCGTTGTTTTCCCTCATAGGTTTTTACTCAAAGCCTCTAGACTCCTAAAGGATCTTAAATCCTCATCTTTTACCACTCTTGGTTTCTCTGTCTACCCTCTCCCCAACCTGTCCCATGCCCGAGTCCAGTTGCTTGTCTCTCTTTTTGATTGTGAGTCAGAGGAAGATAATTCCTACAGAGGGAGAAATAGAAACAGTGGGAGTTTCAGACAAAACTACAGACTACTGCGGTAGCACTCCTCCCTTTTGAAGTCTGAGGCCCACAGACCTGTGGGGGAAAATGATTCTTAGCCTGGAAAGATAGAGGAGGATATGGGTGTGTAGGGAGATTTCTTGAGAACTGAAAGCCTGGATGGTCTCCTGAAAGAAAAGATCTTTAATCCAGTTACAGATGCTATTAGTATTGGGGGTCCATAGATAGTTAATAATAACTTCAGCCTTAGTTCCACCTTGGACTATGATGTCACAGCCAGGGTCAGGGCCTGTAAATCTCTCCTCCCTGTGGAGATGTAAGCCCTGCCCCTGGAAGTATCCGATCACCAAAAGAGATGAGAAAACCATAAATAAAAGTTCTTTGTTCTTTGAAATGTCACAAATTTATACTTTTAAAGTAACCTAGGACTTTAAAATTTCAATTTAATATAGCAAATTCACAGATCAGTACAAACTGAAACCCTTACTTATACAAAATTAGAGACATTTTTATAAGCTAAATGGGCTGATTCCCTTCCACTGTGATAGAGAGCAAACATCTCTGAGAAAAATAACTCAGCAGTGCTGCTTAAGACATTTGCAGACCATCACAGTAGGTCTGCCCTATCTTTAAATAAATTAAACAATAGAAAGAGATAACAAATACTCTCTTTAAACAAATTAAACAATAGAAAGAGATAACAAATACTCTCATGTGTACAGCCAGAAGGCACAAAGTAGCTTTCCCTACACATAGACCAGTTAATGACAGTTAATGAGCAAATAATTATGCCAAGACAGACAAACATCCATACTCACACTCTCTCAGTACACTAGCTCCAACTGAAGCTGAGCAGATAAATGAAACAATGCCCAACTCCCCAGACGGGCTTGGGAGCACTCCAGGCACCCATGCCCTGGAACATAATTCTTGACCAACATCTTGGTGAGAACCTACCACAGGAATTAAGACTGTATTCAGTCCCCCATTCTCAGTAGCAATTGACTAGTCACACACAAACAAACAACAGAGTGAACTCATAATTCCTTCATTCATCTCCAGAGTCCCACATTTATTATACTAGCTAGTCATAGTTTTTTTTTTTTTTTTTTTTTTTTTTTTTTTTTTTTTTTTTTTTTTTTTTACTTCTACTAGATATTTACCCAGAGTTTAAACAGTCACCTGATCCCTGACTCCTGATTAATTTGCCTGAGGAAGCTCTATGGCCTCTGTGGAGGTGATCAAGCTCCCCCTTCCACTCACTTGGAATGGGCTGAACTGATGGGGCCCCTACCTTACAGATTCTGTCAACAGGTCCAGAAGTGTCTGTCAACTCTCTCCAGATGCTGGATGGGTCCTGGGCTGAGGTCTGGGAGTGCCTGGAGTCCCCTGGTTCAATTCTGCTAAATCAACAGAGCAGCATCTCCCAGAGGCCTATCCGGCTCCCCAGGGCCCCTAACCTGGCCCATTCACCAGAGGCCAAAAAAGGTCAATCCTAGTAGTTCCTCGGTTCAGGAAACCAATAATGTTACAGAAAACCAAAGAAGAACAAAGCAATACTTAGAGAGATGGAGTTACATTTATTATGCGTGGGTCCAGAGGAAAATGTCTCTCCAATTCTGGGCCCCAACATGCAGGAATTTTCCCTATTTATATGTTTTTACCTTCTTTGTCTCCCAAATAAGGAGTGTTTCTGGTCCCTTTTGCAAGTTCTTAAAGAGCCCGTATGTACTAGGACCTTGAGACCTCAACTAGAGGTTTGGCCTGGTGCCAACCTTGTCTGGGGAAGGTTTAATGGCCTCTCTGAAGTGTGAGTAGCCTTAGCAAGCAAGAAGTTATAGAAGCCAAATAGCAGGGTTAAAATTTCAAACAACAGTTTTTATATAAGATGGATGCTTCAATTTCCCTTCATAAACCTTTCTACAACTTTCAGGAATACTAGGTTTAGAGCCCATTTTCTTTTACCCTCAAAATGTATCTCCATGCCTCATGCCTTCTATTATCAAATTGCACAATATCAGCTAATAGCCCTTAGAAGCCTCAATTTCCAATGATAAAAAAAGGCAAATAACCAGAATTTCTTAAATTGACCTTTATGAACATATTTTAAACACACTCAGTTTCTGGGCACACTTTTTAAAACTTATTTTTATTGTTGATAGTATTACAGATATCTCCCATCCCCTCTTCTATCCCCTCCTTCCAGCCCCTACTGTCACCCCAGACACACTTAATAAAACCCAAGATTTTACATTTACGATACTTTGAAATTCACTTTACAGACTTTTAGCAATAAAGACAAAATCAGGTGATCTAGCAATGAATTATTTAACAATTGAAATTAGTTAACTAATTTTTTTCAGATGACTAAGTTTATTCCTCCCTCCTCTTCCCTGAGAAACTTGTATTTTTAAAGATGACCTATATAAGAGGTTTTTTTAAAAAAACAAACAAACAGGTATTTGCATTTCAATGGTCCTAGACTTTAGTTTCATAAAGCCAATTATCTATAAGTATTTTGAACTAAACAGAGGAGATTTTCGAATGGTAAAAGGATTTGGTGGCTTAAATTGTTTCTGGAGCCACACCTCTAACCCAGTAAAGATTTTAGCCTAGAGTCTCTGAACCCTCAACTCTTAGTTCCACCTGGAGGACCCCAGAAAGCTCAAAGAAAGTGAGCCTGAACCTAACTTGAAAAAGAAGAAAAGATCATGATTTCAGTCAAAGGACAAGGGTCTCTCTCTTTCTCTCTCCCTCCTTTGGAACCAACCTGACAAGGAAAAGCCACAGGGAAAGGCCCGGTGCTCCTGGGGGCATGGACACCATCCCACAGTGGTGAAACAGAATTTTTGGTCTGGAACATGTGGCATTCCCTGCTCAGACTGATTGACACGCTCTTTGTCGGAGTCGAAAAATTTATCTACGGACTATGGGAGATGGCATAGCAAAGGTGGAAATTTATTAAAGAACAGGTACAGACTCCCACATGGGGAAAGGAAAAGATTTTCACAGCACAGACTCCCACGCAGGGAGAGGGAAGGAGTTGCACCAAGTCTCTGTTTCCACAGTTCATAAAGGCTGTAGATCTTTGTGCCTTGATATCCCCTCTGATTGGTCACTCTTTCCTTGGACTGGTTACTATACTAATTTCTGAGCTCAAAGGAG